AAATCTTCTTTCATTTGAAGAGCGTTTCCTCTTCTTTCTATCTATGAGCGATCCTCTTCCATAGAACCGTTTTTCTCGTCTATTTAATAGAATGGTTTCTCCTCTATCCGTATTAAGAAGTGGTCCTTCTCTTTTATTCCATAGAAAATTAGTCCTCCTCTCCTATACTATAGATGAGCTCTCTCTAGGTTAGGTTAGGTTGAAAAGAGGGGTGGATGATACCACCACATGTCCAACATGAGAAGGACATACACTTAAGCCATATGAGAATTGTTGGGCACTCTAGATGTGCGGAGAAAGTACAAATCAAGAATTAGTGAAAGTGTATAATATAAAAAAAAACATTTGGGTTTGATTCCCTATGAATCTAGGAATTCCGTATTTTTTGCGAACTCCTTCAGTTTTTTCCATTCACACCCCCTCAGATCGCTTAGTCCGTGAAGAGTGTCATTTCCCAAGAATTGTCTCCGAAGGCATGCAAATGCTGGGCAATGGCATAGGAAATGTTCTAGCGTTTCACTGTCCTACCCACACGCTCTGCACTCGTTACTTCCTTCGCATCCAATCTTGAGTAGATGTGCCTTCAGGCCGAGGTGTCCCGTCAGAACACCCGTCAATCGGCTTATTTCTTTTTTGTTTAGCGTTAGGATTTGCTTAGTTTTGTCTTCACTTAGGTCGCCCCATAAGATTTTGTTGATTTTTCCTGTCCCCTCATTATCCCAAGAGGGTTTTGTGGGTCTCATGTGCCCATTTCCTCATTTCTTGGCGTGTTTCGCTAAAGGGTTTGGCGGTATACACCTCTATTGTGGGTAGTGGTCAATATTTAGCGGGTCAAATGGACCCTGACTTTTGTGTGAAAAATGACAAAATTTGTATTCTATGGCATATATATTTACTCCTGGAGGATGTAGTCCCCAGGATTTGATAGCATATCCAAGAGGAGTGGTTGGCCTTTAAATTGATACCAAATATAGTGATGTATCTACTCAGATGTGGGAGTTACAGTCAAATATTTACAAGTGCTTACGTATTCAGATATTATTTAGTAACCCATTACCACATTAGAGGGAGAAATATCGCGCCGATGGCTTTGAAATTTTTCATGAAGTTCCAGTTATGGTCAAGAACAACGCCTACAATTTTCGGTGATGATCAGATTAAAATTTTGGGATGAAATGGACCGAAAACATAATTTTTTGTGTGTTTTCGAGTAGACCATAATCCGAAAATCACAACAAAACCCACCGTGAAGGTAATATGGACAAGTAATTAGAAGGACTGTACTGAATATTCGAAAAAAGTAAGGAGGAGGTGTTGTTAACCTCTAATCGAAATATTACTCAGACTCGGAATAAACATCCTCAGAAAGTTAGAGTTCGTGGTAGTTGTGTAGGGTATCGCATGGTCGGCCCCGTCCGACTATACTGCTCCGCTCACTGGTTTGTCTTTGGTTTGAAATTAACCAGTTCAGACACTCTGTTATAGCTTGAACCTCCGCCTGTAAGATCGTACTGTGATCTGTAAGACGAAGAGAAATTTCGGTACCCGGTTCTTCGATAAAAAATCCCAGTCCAGTTTTTCCTCCTAGTCGAGAGCCATCCGTCTAGCAACAGTTACCAGGCGGCATCTGAACTAGTGTTCCACTATTCCATTGTTCTCTATCTGGTATTATAGTTTCGCACCGTGTCACTACGCTCGTTTCGGGTATACGGTCTGAATCAAAGATATTGAAAGTCGACTCATTTGTTGCCTGTAAAATGTTTTTATGCGGTGTGTTGTGTCCGGTGTCTATCCACTCGTTCATTGCTTTAAGTCTTAAAGCTGCAATCGCCGCTTCATATTTTATTTGGATGTCTATTGGATGTATATATAATATTGTCTCCAAAGCCCTAGTTGGTGTTGTACGCATTGCTCCACATATTCCTAGGCAACACGTTCTTTGAACTTTCTGCAACGTTTTTACGTTACATTTCTTCACCATTGCTGTCCACCAGACAACAGACGCGTATGTTAGAATTGATCTAATAACGCTTTTTTATATCCAGTGTATCATCTTTGGATTGAAACCCCATTTAGAGCCTACGGCTCTTCTGCAGAAACATCAGCATCTGTGGGCCTTGTCAGCCCTTTGCTATATGTGGTCTTTCCATTTAAGTTTCTTGTCTAGAATTACTCCCAGATACGTAACTTTGTTTGATATGGCTATCATTTTGTTTTGGAAGATTGGCTCTTCGTACTGACATATTTTTGTCTTTCTAGTAAAAAGACATATCTCCGTTTTGTCCGGATTTACGTTTAAGCCCCTCGGTTGTGCCCAATTGTATGCGATTTTTAGCACCCTTTCGGCTTTCCTGCATAGTAAGTTGGGTATTATAACGTCGTCTGCATAACAGACAGGTTCAAATCCTTCGTCGGTTAAGTTCCTTAAGAGTCCGTTTATGGTGGTTACCCACAGGTTATATTTTATATTATTCTATAGAAGATTAATATATTTAGATATATAATATAATATTCTATAGAAGATTTCTCCTCCTCTATTCCACAGAAGAGCTCCTCTTCTATTTTACAGAAGAACTCCTTTTCTATATCACAGAAGAGCTCCTCTTCTATTCTCCTGACGACCACCTCCTCTTCATTCTATTGAAGAGCTCCACATTTTTATTGAGGATATGTAGAACAAATATACACACATTGACAAATACCTGTGAAGAAGTTTTATGTCCACCAAGAACCCATCATGCCAAATTACAAACACTTATCTTCGAAATTCCACCTAGGACCATCAAAATACTTTACAGCCATTTTGTTTGGAAAAGTGAGAATACGAAAAAAGTGAGAATATGAAAGCTACTGCGTAGAACTATATTGAGCATATTCTGTGAAGACGTTGTTAGTGCCTTTAAAAATTCTGATGGGAAATTACAATCACTTCGGTTGAAAATGCGTTTTGCCGCAAAAAGCCACCTCACTTGGACGATAACATATATGGCTTCTATGTAAAATCATGGACCCTTATATAAATAGTAAACTGTTTTTTTTTCCTTTAAGAACTCTGAATGGCAAAAAGAAGTCATTACGGGGTGCAAATTTGCCTAAAACTATCAAAATAACTAGTCTAGAATCTACGATCCGAAACGACCCGAGTCTTACTCGGCCAACGTCTGTTACCTCAGCCCATTGTGTAAAAGCAATAGGGCTGCTACAACAACAAACATCTGTAAAAAGTATATAAATATATATTCCTTGTTCTACTATATAGTAGAGCTATTGAAAAATTGTAATAGGTGCAATCGATATCACTTATAACAGCATATCGGTTATAACGACAAAATTCAAAAGTCCCGAGAAACGTTCTACTATCACTTATGGCGACCAATTTTGACGGCCTTGCTATACGCGATTTCAACCGTAATTCTATTATTTGACCATCAGGCGTATGAGTTATATCACTTTATCGTGCACAACGTATACGCCACATGTCACCGCCCGCAATATTAAAGCACAAATTGTGTCAACTTCTCAGTTCCCCGATATTTGTTCAATGAGGAAGCAGTAAAAAATATAGCAGTATAAATAAAAGTTCGGTGAAACAACTCGACGGATGCTGATTTCTAAATCGACTTCAAATTGAATAAAAGGCTTTTCGCCCCAAAATACGTGGGGCAAAAGCCCAAGACCGGTCATATTATAGTTACGATACATAGCCTTAAGGGTATAAAATATACAGTGGGGGTCACGCAATTAAAACATTGACTCTGGTAACAACTTATTGATCATCCCTCTCTTCGATGGAAGTATTTTTAATTTTATTTTTTAATTCAGGACATTAGATATGCTTAGGTGAAAATGGAAAATTATGGCATGTAATTTTCCCATAAATAACGGTTTTTATGAAAAACATCGACTTTGAAGTAAACCGACTATAGAAATGTATAATCGAAGCCTGATTTTTAATGTGAATGTTCGGTTAATCGATATTGTTATCCCTCATAGAACTTGATTACTTGATAATAAATCCACAAGACATTGAGGCGTATGAGTGATAACACTTTTTTAGGAATTGTGTATACGCCATCGTATACAATGTTAAACCAGTAAGGAAAGTCGGACGGGGCCGACTATATGATACCCTTCACCACTTTGGGTATATTCACCAGATGAATCCTAACAGACGTCGCATTTTTAAAGGGCCAATAAAATGGATCCATAAACATGTCATTCTACAACCGATACTAAATTTTTCATTTGGTCAGATATAGAAGCTATATCTAAACCTAAACCGATTTCAGGAAGCTTAACAAACATCATTTTAGACCTGATTCATTACGCTGTGCCAAATTTAGCAGATATATCTAAATCTGAACCGATTTTCACGAAACTTAACACATATCATTCTAGATCTAATTTCTTACGATGTGCCAAATTTCGTGCAAATCGAAAGATATATAGGGACTTTGTTGCACCATTTACATTAAATCGGACGAAAATATATATCGGAGCTATATCTAAATCTGAACCGATTTTCACGAAACTTAGCACACATCATTCTAGACCTAATTCATTACTCTGTGCCAAATTTCGTGGAAATCGAAAGATATATACGGACTTTAGTGGACCATTTACATTAAATCGGGCAAAAAAAGTCCACTGAATTCTCATAATAAAATAAATTCTAGCCTCTTATGAAAAAATATATCCTCTTTATCTCCTAAGCCTAACTCGGTCTATTAAGGATTAATATTTTAACCATTTTCTATTGAAAAGCCACATATCTGTTAATTTTTACGATTCACTGGAAAAATGAAGTCAGTTAGGCCTCTGGCCTAAAAATCATACTTCAATTGAAGTCAAATTTTTCTTATTTTTACTTTCCTAGAAAAATATACATACATATGTATATTTTATTTAATTATATAATTTATATGTTCAAATCCCAAATTTAATTTAACCAATCATCAACGATTATTTAAATGATTTTACAAATTCCCCTCTCTTTCTAGCTACCGATGGCGTTCTACCCAACTGCCAAATCAAATGCGATGCAGAACCCTGTAAAAATGGCGGAATTTGTCGAGAAAATTTCGCCAAGCAAGAATCGAAATGCGACTGCGAACATACCAGCTTTTTGGGTGAATTCTGTATGGAGGAGAAGGGTGCCGATTTCAGTGGCGAATCGACGCTACAAAGGAAATTCGAATTGAATGGCAAAGTCGACTATGTCCGTCTACAGTTGGCATTTTCTTCGTTGGATTTGCGACGTGCCAATCGTGTAATGCTGCTGTTGCAAACAGCGGCTGACCGCAGCTATTATTTGATGATAGCCATAACGGCTGATGGTTATTTGCTATTCGAAGAAGACCGTGAAGGACCGGCGGTGGGTGCACGCATCGATCGTAATTTCCTGAACAATGCACGACACTCGATATACTATCAGCGTAATTTAACAGAGGCCACATTGTATATTGACCGCGAACCAGTGCCATTGGCACCGATTAGTGCGAGAGCATTAACACCATCCGCAGATATGGGTGCTAATCGTGTACAAATCGGTGGTATTAATACAACAGATACACGTTTTGCTGTATTTAAGAGTTACAGTGGCTGTTTATCAAGTGAGTACAAGTACACCAAGTCACATACACACGCACACACACACACAATGCGAGCGATATAAACGAAATTCACTTCTACGCACACACACACACACAGATAGATAGATGTACATTGTTTGAGAATCCACATGTAGAGATTACAATGTGTGTCTGTGTGTTGTGTATAAAATGCTGCCTACATTTATGTTTGTGTTTGTTTAGGCGATTGTTAGCCTATTTAAGAAAGGGCTTAGTCACTTGATGCACCGTTTAGTGGCACACAATGTAAACAATCGAATATGAGATATTCCATCATGAGCATGAATATAAGAGGCAACATGGAAATATTTTCGGTATTTGAAAGATTTAAGTCGCTTCATTTTCTGCATCCCGGATATTTGGAGGCTGACATATGTATATCTATGGCGTGAATGCTTAATATAGATCCATGTTTTGACATAGTCCCCATATAAGGGGCCTGTCTAATTTTCGCTATTTTAAATGGCCAATATAGGTCCCCATATAAGGGTCCTGTCCAATTTTCGGTACTTTAAAGGGTTTAGCTCTCTGCGGTTTGGAGTTTGGGTTTGGACGTAGATCAATGCAAAAAATTATCAATGTAGGTCAATGTTTTGATATATCCTACATACAATGAACCCATCTCATATTGTGCTATTTTGAAGATGTTAGCCGTAATGTCCAACTAAAGTGACTGTAATTGGCATCTCCGGTTTTTTTAGCTTGAAACATATTTTTGCGCAGATATTTCGATAAAGGTCCATATGTTGACATAGCCCACACATAAAGGACATCCTTCCATTTAAAGTGTTTTGAAAGTGTTGGGAAAATTTTCCCTCGACGTTGCCATAATTTGGAATTCCTGTTTTTGGAACATGAAAACTATTTTTCAGAACTATTTCCATATTTTGACATAGCCCTCCGGATTTAAAAGCTGACATACATCTTTTTCTGATATCTTTAAGGTTTTAACTGCAATTTCGAACAAAAATGGCTGCAATTTGTCATTTCAGATACTTGGAGGGTAAAACTATATTTTGAGGATTTTTCTATATACATACATATATCCATATTTTGACACAGCCCTCATATAAGGTTCCCTACAAATGTTCGGAATTTGATGGGTTTATCGGCATTTTCTATTATTTGATATTCCAAGATCTTGAAGGTTCCGATACATTTGTTTTGACATATTCCCCATATAATGTTCCTTGACCCATTTTGGATAGTTTACGGGTTCTTGGAGGGTGAAAAATATGTTTGCCGAACTATTTCGATGGAGGTCCATGTTTTGACGTAACATCCGTATAACATTTCCGTCCCACTTCTGGTATTTAGAAAGTTATAGACACATTTTCCCATAAAACTATCTGTAATTTGGTATTCCGATTTTTAATAGGGTAACAAATCTTTGCTGAAGGAATGTTTCACATTCGCTACTTTGAAGGTTATAACCGCATACTCCCACAAAAGTGGCTGTATTTTGGCATTCCAAGTTATTCGAGGGTCGAAAAATATATTTTCAGAAAATGTTGTCATGAACAATGATTTATATAAAGGTTCCGACCACCACGAATATGAATTGTATATAAAGATCGGCTCTTCCGAACTTAATATATTTTTATACCCTTCCCCACACTGTGGTACAGGGTATTATATCTTTGTGCATATGTTTGTAACAGACAAAAGGAAACGAGATAGACACATGGTTCCTTTTGAGAATATCATAGAATCACTTTCTGAGTCGATTTATGCATGTCCGTCAGTCCGTCTGTCAAGGTTAAATTGTGAACAAAGTAAAGGTCGCATTTATGATCCGAATTGGATTAAATTTGGCATAGGTCTCTTATTTGGCCCAATGAAGAACCCTACTGAAATTGGAAAAAATCGGTTCAGATTAAGATATAGCTCCCATATATTTTCGTCCGATTTAAGGTAAATGGTGTACCAAAGACCCTATGTATCTTCCGATTTGCACGAAATTTGGCATAGCGTAATGAATTAGGTCTAAAATGATGTGTGTTAAATTTCCTGAAAATCGGTTCAGATTTGATATAGCTCCCGTATATATTTTCGTCCGATTTAAGGTAAATGGTGTCCTAAAGTCCCTATATATCTTTCGATTTGCACGAAATTTTGCACAGCGTGATGAATTAGGTCTAGAATGATGTGTGTCAAGTTTCATGAAAATCGGTTCAGATTTGGATATAGCTCCCATATATATTATCGTCCGATTTAATGTAAACGGACCCTATATAACTTTTGGGTACTGAATTAGGTCCATAGGGTACTGAATTAGGTCCAGAATAATGTGTGCTAAGTTTCGTGAAAATCGGTTCAGATTTAGATATAGGTCCCATATATATTTTCGTACGATTTGATGTAAATGGTGCACCATTTACATCAAATAGTACGATTTGCAGGCAATTTGGTATAGCGCATTGAATTGAGTCCAGAATTACATATGTTAAGTTTCATGAAAATCGGTTCAGATTTAGATATAGCTCCCATATATATTTTCGTCCGATATGATGTAAATGGTGCTGCAACGTCTCTATACATATTTCGATTTGCACAAAATTTGGCATAGTGTTTTGAAATGAGTCTGGAGTGATGTGTGTAAAGTTTCCTGAAAATCGGTTCAGATTTACATATAGCTCCTATATATTTTTTTCTTCCGATTTTATGTAAATTGTGCACTAAAGACCCGTAGTTTGTTCGATTGCCCCACAATTTTGAACAATAAATTGTAGTTAATATAAGTTAACCTCTGCCATTCTCATTGAAATCGGTTCAGATTTTGATATAGCTATATTTTCGTCCGATTTTACACAAAATTGACAAAAAATTTTGCACAACGTACTAATGTTTTGAAATGGGGAAAGTTTTGAAATCGGTTCAGATTTGGATAGAGCTTCTATATATATTTTCTCCCGATTTTAGGTAATTTTGTCCCATTGTAAGAAGCAACCCAATATCTGAACAAATGAAAAATTTATTATAAG